GCAACATATCGTATCACAACCCCTGTATCGTGATACGTATCGTATCGCCAGATTCTTGCCGATACACAGCCCTAATTAAAAGTGTACTGAATGGCCACTAATTTGCATTTTCATTTAGATCCAGAATTAGTTTCATTCAGTTTGTTTGTGGTGTAAAAACAATTATAATTCTTTTGGAAAATCATGGAAATGCAATATTGGCTGCCATTTTTCATATAGGAGTTTACCTTATAGTAGTTTACTCCTGAGCTTTTTTTTACTTTTTTTTTATAAACTTCAGCACAATAACAAACAAACAACACTCCTTCATGGGTACATATATAAATATTTTTCCAAAGTATAACACAAAGTGAAAAAAAGTTCACCCTGGTCAACTGGTTACAATATAAGCAAATATTTGTAAGCATGTATACGTGAATATTTGTGGTCATACATTCATAAACATAATACTCATTTCTGTAGGCGTACTATCAAGCAGCCGTTGATCCTAGTTACATACATTTACATTAATGAATAATATACATGTTCCACTTTGGCATTTATCTATTTTCTCTCTGTTTTGATATAGGCCCTATAGATTGTTCCCAGTGTTTCTTAAAAGTCTCTTCTTGCAGTCTCAACCTGAATGTCAGTCTTTCCATCTTATAAATTTCTGTAACTATTTGTTCCCACTGAGTTCTTGTTGGGGGAGGCTGCTGGAGCCATAGATGAGTAATCGCTTTTTTTGCTGCTGCTAGTAGAATCCTGAGTAAATATTTATTCCTTTTCTTAACAGAATCAGGTATATTGCCAAGAAATAGAATAGCCTTTAAGCTGTTTTTTCAATCTCAATTTCCAAGATTTCCTCTATGCTAGAATTTATTTCTGACCAAAACGGATTCAAGACTGGACAAGTCCAGAAGACATGTACATGATCAGCCAATAATGTCCCACACTGCCTCCAGCAGGAGCCCTGATTTGTCATTCCTTTTTGTTTTGCTTTCACTTTGGGCGTAATAAAGAAACGAATTGTATTTTTCCAACAAAATTCCCTTCGAGCCCTGGACTGATTAGTCCAAACACTGTGAATGCCATAAGTTCCGCCATTCTTCAGCTGGAATACAAATCTGCATTTCCTTTTCCCACTTTTCTTGGATATACTCAGTAGAATGGCCTTTAATATCTTGAATGCAGGTAAATAAACCAGATATTAATCATTTTTCACAAGTATTTGTATTATTACATTTACATTTAGTCATTTAGCAGATTATACATATTATAATACATGATTATTAATGATTATTCCCCTTTGATAAATATGTTTATTAAAGTGTATAATACTATACAGTAGAGGTCGACCGATTAATCGGTTTTGCCCCTAGCTATCGGTATCGGTAAAATCCACTATCGGTCGACCTCTAACAGTAT